AAGTAATAATAAACTCAAAAAACTTAACCAAAAAAAACAAATAAATGGGCTAAGGAACTGAATAGACACTAAGGAACTGTATAGACACTTCTCAGAAGATGATATGCAATCGATGAACAAATATATGAAAAAATGTTCAATATCTCTAGCAATTAGAGAAATGCAAATGAAAACTACTCTAAGATTTCATCTCACTCCATCAGAATGGTAGCTATTAAGAACACAAAGCGTTGGCAAGGATTGGGGAAAAAAGTACACTCCTACATTGCTGGTGGGACTGCAAATTGATGCAGCCAATCTGGAAAACAGTATGGAGATTCCTTGGGAAACCTGGGATGGAACCACCATTTGACCCAGCTATCCTACTCCTCAGTTTGTACCCAAAGAACTTAAAAACAGAATACTAAGTGACACAGACACATCAATGTTTATAGCAGCACAATTCACAATAGCTAAACTGTGGAACCAACCTAGATACACTTCAGTAGATGAATGGATAAAGAAACTGTAGCATATATGCACAATGGAATATTACTCATTTGTGGATGCTGATCGATAATGGAGGTGAGAGGGGAAGCATGGGAGGAATGGAGGAACTTTGGATAGGGCAAAGGGGAGGGAGGGGTAGGAAGGGAAAATGTGTACCACGAATTGAAATGTATTCTGCTGTCATGTATAACAAATTAGAATAAATAAATTTATTTTTTCTTAAAAAAGTAATAAAGGGATGTAGTCCAGCAGTAGAGAGCTTGCCAAGTGTGCCAGGCCCTGGTTGGATTCCTACTATTGCAAAAAATAATGATGATGATGATGATGATGATGGTACCTGTATAATTCCAGTTACTCTGGAAGCTAAGGCAGGACAATCACAAATTCACAGATAGCCTAGGCAACTTAGAAAGACTCTGTCAAAAAAAAAAAAAAATCTAAAAAAGAGCTGGGTATGTACTTCAGTGGTAGAGTGTTGCTTAGCATGAGGGAATCCTTGAGTTCAATCCCTACTACTATTCAGATGTTTTTAACCTTTCACTACACTATGTATATATACATGAGATAGTGCACTATATGATCTCTATTATCCCATTTAATACTCTTAGTACTGTGAGGTTGGTAGTAGTCTGTCTCCCTTCCTTCCTTAAGATTGAACCCCAGGTGCTCTACTACTCTGCTACATCCCCAGCCCTTTTTTATTTTGAGATAGAGTCTCACCTATTTGCCTAAGATGGCCTTGAACTTGTGATTCTTCTGCCTCAGCCTCCCAAGTGGCTGGGATTACAGGTGTGTACCACCATCCCAGGCTGGACAGTATTATTAATTTAGATTAAAAATAGGCTCATTGAAGTGTAGAACTAGTATTCAGCAAGCCCTTTTTGACTTGGGAGGCTGAGGCAGGAGGATACCAAATTCAAAGCTAGCCTCAGCAACTTAGCTAGCAAGGCCCTAAGCGACTTACTGAGACCCTGTCTCAAAATAAAAAATAAAAAGGGCTGGGGATGTAGCTCAGTGGTTAAGTGGCCCTGGGTTCAATACCCAGTACCCTCCCCCCAAAAAAGAAAATCCCAGAAAACATATTCCATTCATTTCTCTTCAAATGTGCCCAGTTGTTGTTGTTTTTTTTGTTTTTCTTTTTTTGTTTTGTGGTGCTGGGGATTGAACCCAGAGCCTTGTGTTTGCGAGCTAGGCAAGCACTCTACCAACTGAGCTATATCCCCAGCCCTGGACTCAATCAATTCTTAAACTAAGTGGAAAGAAATTTCCTTTTGCTTTCTTTAGTAACTCCACTTCCTAAAGAATATACACAGGATTCATGGTACTCTTCTTTTAATATTTCTATACATAAAATTAGAGGAAAATTCATTAAATTGGAAATTTAGCTCCCTCACTCCAACAAAAACAGCCTATCTCCAATTTGCATGACATCTTTCTTCCTCTGAAGCATAAAACCACATCCATTAGTTTACTCATCCTCAATCAGTCAACAATGTTTCCTGATCCCAGCACTAAATTAGGTAGACTGGAAAGTTACAAAGATGATACAGGATCTCATTTATATATATTATACCCACAAAGTAAGAAAAATATAGTTATTAAAATTATATCCTTGCTGGGAATCTTAAAGTCAATGGAAGAGCTGGGACTAAATTTTCAGGCCAGTCTAGGTGTCTTTATATACGAACAAGTGAAAGAAAAATAGTACCTACTAAATTAAGCAGACATCAAAATTAGACAAATCTAAGTAACTGTGGATGATGCATGCCTCTACACCCTTCTACACACGACAAAGGACCATTGCTCCTATAAATGGTGGTTTCCACATGTCCTTAACGCATACAAAGAGACATGCACTCCTTAAATGGGCTACTTTTTGCCACTGTCCCTAAAAACATCCTGTTTCTGCCACAATCCACTAGCAATGTGTTTGGTCCCCAACATAAGGATCCCAGTTTGAGGAGCCTATACCTATTATCTACCTTCAAAGTCCAAATAAAAGCCAAGCACTCCAACTCAGGAATTTGAGGCAGGAGAATCTCCTGAACCAGCCTGGGAAATTTAGTCAGAAACTCTTTAAAAAATAATAATAATAAATAATAATAATAATAAACGACTGGAAGTATGGCTCAGAGGTAGAGGGCCTCTGGGTTCAATGCCCAGTACCACAAAACAACAATGAAAAAAGACCAAGAATCGTAGCTGTAACTACTAGAGGAACAGCTGTAAAATTAAATAACTGTTCCTCTAATCTTCAAGCTATAGATAAGAAGTCATGTAAGAGTCCACATTTCTGGTAACTCTGGAAACTGTTTCCTGATTATGTATATGCCTTTTCTTTTTTTGGTATTGGGAATTAAATCCAGAGGTGCTCTACCACTGAACTATATTCACATCCCTTTTTATTTTTAATTTTGAGACAGTGTCTCACTAAGTTGCTCAAGATCTCACTAAATTGCTGAAGCTGGCCTCCAGCTTGATATCCTTCTGCTTTACCTCCCAAGTTGTTACAGCTGTGCCACAGCACCCAGTTATGTATGTATTTGCATCTCCTGAATTACTTTTATATATAACACTAGAGCAAATATCACAGTGGTAAGAAGGAGAAAATTGCCAACGGTAGCAAATGTCTACAAACCAATCATTTTCCCCAAGATTATTCCCTTAAATAATTGTGATGATACAATATGCCAAATAAAACAATATCAAGGGAGGTGGGGTTTGGCTGGGTGGTAGAGCACTTGCCTAGCATGTGTGAGGCACTGGGTTCAATTCTCAGCACTGAATATAAATGAATGAATAAAATAAAGGTCCATCAATGTCTAAAAAAAAAAAAAAACCAATAACAAAGGGCTGGGGTTGAGGTTCAGCTGTAGAGCGCTTGCCACGCATGTGCAAGGCACTGGGTTCAATCCTCAGCACCATATAAAAGTAATTAAATAGAATAAAGGTATTGTTTCCAACTATAACTAAGAAAAAAATTTTTTTAAAAAGTATCAATCAACAGCTTCATTCTACTTGACAAAATTTTGAAAGTAATTCTGTGTACCTTCACCTTTGGAAAAAGTATTTCACAATGGAAGAACTCTTGCCTAGCATGTGCAAGGCAAAACTCTGGAGTCAATTCCTAGTATTAAAAAAAAAAATTGAGGGGAGGGGAGGGGAGGGGGGATAGTAGAGGATAGGAAAGGCAACAGAATACAAAAGACACTAGTATGGCAATATGTAAAACAGTGGATGTGTAACTGATGTGATTCTGCAATCTGTATATGGGGTAAAAATGGGAGTTCATAACCCACTTGAATCAAATGTATGAAATATGATATGTCAAGAACTATGTAATGTTTTGAACAACCAATAATAAAAATTTAAAAAAAAAATGTTTTCTACCAGATTGCCTTCCAAACTTTAACTAAGAATTGTCAAACTGTGCACTTAGAAGCACTATTAAATCTAGAGAAAAATTATCAATGTCTCTTAACTGAATCACACAGCAAGCAATATCAAAGCTAGATCTAATTAAGAGGTATTATTAAAATTACATTCAATCCAGGCACGATGGTGCATGCCTATAATCCCAGAGAATGGGAAGGCTGAGGCAGGAGGATCGCAAGTTGGAGGCTAGCCTCAGCAACCTAGTGGGGTCTTAAGCAACTTAGGCAGAGCCTGTCTCAAAAAATAAAAAAGGCTGGGGATGTAGCTCAGTGATAAAGCGCCCCTAGATAATGAGTGAGAGTGACCCCTAGATACAGAGTGAGAGAGAGTGAGTGAGAGAGGGGGGGCTAGAGGGAGGGGGGGGAGAGAGAAAAGAGGGGGAGAGGAAGAGAGAAATTATATTTGGACCTCTAAAGGCCCAATCACAAACATTTATTACAGCTTCATATGCTGCCTCAACTTTTTAAGCTTTAGGTCTCCTAGTCACCTGGCAAAATAGCTCTACAAATTTACCAAAGAATTGGAAGAAAAAAAAAGAATACATTAGTTTCAACACCAAATAAATAATACAAATTTGCGAATTACAAAAGAATAGGGTAAAGACAGTAAATTCTGCTGCTGACTGCAACACACACCAGAACAGAACCCGTGTTACCTAACGAAACATTACCTACTGCTCATAAAGCAGGTCGGTCTTTAACAACTTAAGTACGCCAACCATTTTTCATGTTTAAATGGATTGTTACAAATTGTCCTGGTCAAGACTGATGGCAAAAACCCAAATTGGTTTTCGGCGAAGAGCCACTCTGCATAGAGCATCACACAAAAGACAGGAGCAAACAGGAACACGTTCTGGGCCTTCGTGAATTGCGGCCGAGACCTCACAACAAGGAGAGAAGGAACGAAGGCCGGGGAAGGAAGGTAGGGGTGGGGGTGGGGTCCACTTCCCTGAAAGCGCCGCGGAGCGAGTGCAGCAGCACTAAGGAAGCAGCAGACCGGCATCGGCGGCTTCCAGGCCAGCTACACCCTTGGGCCCACCCCAGGCCTATCCCTCTCAGCCCGGTCCGCTTCCTCACCTCCCTCACGTCCTGCAGACATTCGAGCACCGCCAGGTTGTTGCTCCAGGTGTGCTTGGGGCACACACGGGTCACGTCCTCCCTGCAGGACTCTTCCTCCGCCAGTTTCCAGCCCCCGCCAGCCCCGCCGGGCCCCGCTCCGCCCCGACGGGCTGGAGGCCCACCCGCGGGGAAAGGCGGCTGAGGCTGCTGCTGCTGCTGCTGCTGCTGTTGCTGCTGTTGCTGTTGCTGCTGCTGCTGGAGCTGCGATGACTGAGGCAACTGGGGCGGCTGCTGACCCACCGGGCCGCCGCCTGCAGCCTGCCCTAGGAAAGGCACAAAGTTGGCGGCCAGGCCTTGGCCTTGGTTGTGGCCGCCCTGGCCAGTGAGTTTCTCGGCCCCGGCCGCCGCTAGCAGCAGCAGCTGCAGCGCCGCCGACAAGCGGAACATTCTCCGTACACGTCCACACGCCGCCATCTTGGGTCCGCGGCGAGCTCGACGCACTCGCGAGCGCCGCGTATTTAAATGAGGGGCGGAGCTTCGGGCGTGGGCCGGCGTGGCCCGGACGAGCCCCTCCCCTGCCGACTCCGAGCCGCGACCCGGGAGCGGGGCGATTGAGTAGGCCGCGCTTCACGTGGCCCACGCCCGGGACCTAGTGGGTCGGAAAGCGTCGCTCCTTACCCAGAGAGGAGCTGGGGTTTTTTAGAAAGCCTGGCTATGGGCGACACGGTCTGCTTTCCTTGGTTATTGTCACAGAAAAATACCAAAGGAGTTAGAGTTGCCACAACCAAGATGGCCGATGGAAAACGTCTCTGGTTCAATGACTTGGGTAAAAGAAAAACTTTATGTGTGAACAGGTGAACTTTACACGACCAGGTGTATTCCAGAATCTAAGAATTTCTTAGAACTGTGCCTCCTTCTTTCCACCTGCCTCAAAATTCTTTCTTACCCAGAAGGAAAGGCAGCATTGAATAAGGGTTCAGAGCACAGGTCATAATCCTTGCTCTTTGGCAGATTAGGTAAGAGGTCAAATGTAAAGTGAAATTGTGAAAGCTAGAGATAAAAACAAGGAAAGTGCCTAACACATTAAGGAACTTCAAAAGTTATAGCCAGTATTATTAGTAAATAGTGAATCCAGGCGTGGTGGTGCACCCCTGTGAATTCAAAGCCAGCCTCAGCATCTTTGAGAGACCCTAAGCAACTCAGACCCCTGTCCCCGTCTCTAAATTAAAAAAAAAAAAAAAAAAAATATGATGTGGCTCAATGGTTTAAACACCCCTGTGTTCAATCCCTGATTCCAATGGTGGAGGAGGGGTGGCAGAGAGATAGTGAAGCCCTTTGAAAGTCTTCATTTTAAGTTAGAACTTAGACTAATATTTAAAGGATTAAAAAAAAAAAAAAAAAAAACAGGCCTTTGAGGACTCCAGTTAAGTATGTGTCAGCAGCTATTTTGTATGCTGTTCTGCATGCAACATCTTCAGCAGCACTTTAGGCACCCCACCCTAGTATCTCCTCCTCCTTAGGAAAGATATCTTCCCAATCCAGATATCTTCTTTACATTCATTGTCTCATTTCATGCATGCATCAGACCTAGGTTAGGTTCTAATTCAGCTAAGGAATGAGACAAAGTTGTTCGGCACAGGGAAATTAAAGTGAGCTTCCCAGGATTAACTCTGCCAGACTGTTGATAGCCTTCAAACAAAATCCCTGGATCTTCTCAGCTCACTTCTGCACTTTTATCCTATTCTGCCATTATAGGATGTTGGTGAATGAGGGCATCCTGGGACAGGTAATCCCTGCTGGTTACCATGTTAAAAATGCAGTTTCTACTGAAGGTCAGATCAGATAAAACTAGAACCTAACAAGTCAGGCAGGGGTTTTAGGACCATGAAAGGAATCCTTGAGACAGAATATGGTATGGGTACAAATTGTCCACTGTATCTGACCCCAAACTTCTATCTCTAGGAATAAGAGCATGTTGGCATCTCCACCAACGCTAACCCTTGCTACAGTCACAAAATAATCCTGAGGCTGCTGCCACCTTGAGCATTGACTCAGACAGCCCAGGGTGGACTAGGATAAATGTACATGTTCATTAGCAGACTCATGGAATAGATAAATATCAGTTTAAGCAAGCCAGAGACATCACTCAAATTCCTTGAGGAGTCACTGGGGGCAATTAACTTTCAATGCTGGGTCTGCCTAACAAGTGGAAGATTTTTTTTTTTTTTTTTTTGGTAGGAGGATTGAACACAGGAGCACTTAACCACTGAGCCAGGGTTTTTTACATTTTAGAGACAGGGTCTCACTGACTTGCTTAAGGCCTCACTAAATTGCTGAGGCTAGTTCAGAATTCTTGATCCTCCTGTCTCAGCCTCCTGAGCCACTGAGATTACAGGCATGTGCCACAATGCCTGGCTAGTGGGAGATTATTTTAAGCCAGTTTAAGGTTAGAAACTGACAGTCTGTTCAGAGAGGCCAGCAGTTGCCTATCTTTCATCATGAACTGAGGAAATCCTATACCTAGCCTCAGATTTCCTCTAGAGATAGGAAGGAAGAAAAAACCTATCTTGAAATCACAGTGCCCAAGCAGCAAGATACAGAAATCTGGAAACCTGGCCAGATTAGGCTGTGTCAGGCTAATCAAGATTTTACAGAAGGAACAGGCCCCTGAACCAGTTGAAAGATAAAGATGATAAAGTTTGTTCACCTAAGTTCTCTTGGCCTAATTGACTTTTTCAGTACTAAGGCCAAAACCCAGGACCCCTTGCACCCACAGCGAGTGCTCTAAGCGCTCTACCACAACATACTCAGGACTCACCCACCCCATTTTATTTATTTAATTTTATTTTGAGATAGGGACTTGCTGTGTTGCTCTTGGTTGGTCTAGAATGCACAATCCTATTGCCTCAACTTCCCCAGTAGCTGGGATTATGGGCATGTGCCACCACACACTCAGTATAATTGACTTTTTAATATAAAATATATTACTTCTAGAGCTTGGGTGAGATCAGTGGTATAGTGCTTCCCTAGCATGCTCAAGGCCCTGGATTCCATCCTCAGTGCCTGGAAAAAAAAAAAATTGGATAAAAAATAGGACGCCACACATATTCCCAGCAACTCAGGAAACTGAGGCAAGTTCAAGGGTAGCCTGGGCAATTTAGCAATGACACCCTATCTCAAAAAATAAAAAGGGCTGGGGATGTGGCTCAGAGGTAGGGCATCCCCAGGTTTGTCACAGAAGAGAAGGGTCCTTCCCTCAGGAGAAGGGTCCTAAGGGCTCCCAGAAGATAGGGGAAACTCAACTCAGGACCAGGGGGGTTCCCGGTATACGTGAAGGAAAAGAATTTCAGCATAAATCAGACAAAGATATAGACAGAGGTTTATTTAGGAAGGTAGATTCACATTCAAGGAAGAATGTAGGCTGTCTTTTGAGAGTGAGAAACAGCCCTGACTTGGGCTTTATGGAAGAACTGTATCAGGGGCCAGATTGGAGGTGGATCCAGGGTGGAGCTGCACAATTTCCAGGCCAGTTTTCCCTGCACTTGCATATTTCCCTCATTTTACAAGGGCATGGGCCTTGTTGCTCAACATTTATAACTATGCTTTCTACATCTCAATGACTTATGGGTGTTTCCTCTAATATTCAGTAATCTCTTTTTATCCTACATCCCTATTTCAGGTTCAATCCTCAGTATCATAAAAAGGAAGAAAGAAAGAAAGAAAAAAAATAAAGAAGAAAAAGTATTTCGTCTTCTGGGGCTGGGTGTAGTTCAGTAGAAAAGCATGTGCTTAGCATATGTAAGACCTGGGTTGAATCCCTAGCACCAAAAAATGAAATATATGGTCTCTATCAGAAACTAGGAATTTATTTTATGCTTTATTGTACTTTTTGTTTCTGGATCCGCACTTCCTCCATACATTCATTCAATATGTAAATATTGAATTTTTCTTTTCTTTTTTTCTTTATTGGTGGTAAGGATCAAACTGAGAGCTCTGCATACACTCGAAGGTATTTTACCTCTGAGATATATCCCCAACCCCTTGCCACTGTTTAAAATGTTTTTTTCTTTCTTTCCTTTTTTTTTTGGTACTAGGAATTAAATCCAGGGGTGCTTTTACCACTGACTGAACTATATCTCTGGGCTTTTTTATTTTTCATTTTGAGGCTGAGTCTTGCTAAATTTCTGAGGATGACCTTGAATCCTCTTGCCTCAGCCTCCCAAGTCATGGGGATTACAGGTGTGTGCCACTGGATTATAGGTGTGTGCCCAGTGAGCATTTTTATAAGTGCCAGCCTTGTTAATAGGAGATATAAAAAGATAATTTAAAAAGCGCATGATAACGTCAGATAGTATTAATGCTATGAAGAAAATAAAAGATATATGGTGTGACTAAGAAGGGCAGGATTTTTATTATATAAAGGGAGCTAGGGAAAAGCTTTCTGAATGATAAAAAAGCTTAGAGCCAATTGGCATGAGAATGGCAACTATGTAAAGAACAGGATCTAAAAATTCTTCCAAAAGCAGAGATTATCAGCTGAGTTCAAGACCATGAGGAGGTGGAAATAAGAATTCAAGGCTGGGAATGTAGCTCAGTTGGTAGAATGCTTGCCTTGCATGCACAAGGCCCTGGGTTCAATTCCCAGCACCACAAAAAAAAAAATCAAAAGGAAGGCCTGGCCTGTAATCCCAGTGACTCCAGAGGCTGAGGCAGGAGGATCATGATTAAAAGCTAGCCTCAGCAACTTACTGAGGCCTTAAACAACTCAGCGAGACCCTGTCTCTAAATACAATATAAAAAAGGGTTGGGGATGTGATGCACAGCGGTTAAACAGTAGTCAAGCACTTTTGGGTTCAATTTCAATACCTAGTACAAAAAAAAAAGGAAGGCCTGGGTGTGAATTGAAATGAGGAGAGAGGGAGAAAAGGGCAGAGAACTGGCCAGAGGTCAGATTATATCGGGCCTACTAAACTATTTATCTATAACTGAGGAGGCTTCTGATTCCAACTATAACTGAGCATTTGTATTTCTACTGAAACAGAACCATAAAAATTAGCTCAAAAAATTGGTAGAGTGCTTGCCTTGCATGCACAAAGCCCTGAAGTTCAATCCCCAGCACCACCAAAAAAAAAAAAAAAAAAACATTAGATAAAGCCAGGCATCGTGGTTCACTTCTGTAATCCTAAGGCAGGAAGATCACAAGTTCAAGGGCATCCTTTTGCAATTTAGCAAGACCCTGTCTCAAAATAAAAAAGGGCTGTGGATATAGCTTAGTGGTCAAACTCCCCAGAGTTTAATCCACATTGTCACAAAAAAAAAAAAAAAAAAAGAAAAGAAAAAGAGGGCTGGGGATGTGGCTCAAGCGGTAGTGCGCTCGTCTGGTGTGCATGAGGCCCGGGTTCGATCCTCAGCACTACATACAAACAAAGATGTTGTGTCCGCCGAAAACTAAAAAATAAATATTAAAATTCTCTCTTTTAAAAAAAAA